TTGTTCTCTTACTTTTAGACTTGCTTTTTATTATATTTTCTATTCTTTCTTTGTTCTTTTCACTTTACTAGCTATTCACTTATCTTATATAGATTATTCTTATTGTTTGATTGTTTTTCACTTGTTTAAGCTTATACGGTTATTTCTTATTTCTTATTTAAGACTGTTCCTTTGTTTTAAGCGTGCTCAACTACGTGTATTCGAAGGTGAACTGCTATTAGAAAGAGTAGGTCCTCTTTATAAATATACTTATATAAGAAAGCTCTCTTCTTCTTTCTTCTTAATATTTTCTTTCTTTATATAACAACAATTATAATAAAATTACCACTACTACTTTTATTTACAATTACATAATACTATATTAATATCAACGACTTTAATTATCACTTAATTAATTACTACTATTATCAGCTTTATTCCGTTATCTTATATTTAGCTCGTGAACCGTAGTTCACGAATTAAACATGCTTCTTAAATCAGCCGCCGCTAAAAGAAAAGCTTTTGTTCGTAATGCATCTTTTAGCTTATTAATAAGCGAAAAGCAAGCCGCTTTAACTCGATAATCGAGTTTCGAACTAAAATTCGAAAGACGAGTCATTAAGACCTTCGATAAGTTCTTTTAGACTTACCGCTAAATGAGCAACTCTAATCAACTAGCTATGCTTAAAGTAGCAACTTCCGATCTTAATAATAGATTAAGTAAAAAAGATAACTTGATCTTATAATACGATTAATTCTTGCGAGCCGAATGCGTAAGAAAGAACATAAACGCTAAAAACTTCTTTTCAGCTTACGATTAGTTTACTATTAAAATCACCGTTATCTACTCTTTACGCAATAAGAATGCTAAAAGATATAAACGAATTAAAAGAGCTTTCGACGGCGCTCGAAGCTAATTATTATATAACGATTACTTTAAGGCTGTATGCACTTTAGTCCGCAGCGCTCGCTAATTAAGCGTTATCTTAAAGAACTGTACTTTCAACGCTTACGCTATCCAGGTCATCAATTATTATATTATTGCTTACGTCGCTTTTTAAAAGATTATAACTAATATAGCTCGAGAACGCAAGTTCATCAAGCTTAATGCTACGGTAATTAACCTCACTTGCTAAACCGTAGAAGATAAGAACAACATTAAGTAAAAAGATAAGATCGCTATTCTTAACGAAAGACTTTTAAAGAAGCTAAGATTAAAAGTCTTATTATATAGCTTATTGATTTTAGCTCTCGATAATATTAAAAGCGAATATGACGAGCTTAAAGAACATATAAAATTTGCCGATAAGAATCAAACTTAAAATTTCGTTTTATAAAAAAAACTCGAATCCGAAACTTTATTCGTAAACTATAATTCACGAGTAAAAAATGATTTAGCAATCGAAGTAAAATTAAATCAACTTTTTGCTTTTAAAACCTTTTTGCTTAAATCATTTATTACGCGCTTTTCGTTATCATTAGCCTTGTTTTAAAGATCGACGTTATCTTTTGCTAATAAGCTTTCGAACGCTAAACTAATTGCTTCGATTATATCTACTTTACGCAAGTTTATCGACGCGAGCTCTTTTTTAGCTTTTAAACTTAAAGTGCAACGCGACCTTTTCGAGAACTAGCTGCTATTAGCATCACTCGTTAAAGAAAAAAACAGCTTCGAGTACGAACTAATTAAAGCTATATCGAACCGCTGCTTAAGACTCGTCGAGATTAAAGACTTTATAAGTATAAACGTAACTTTTATTAACTTTTGCTAAGACTTCTATTAATCAGCTTTCGATCGCTTAAACTTAAACGAAAACATCGATAATGCTTTTTAAATTGCCGCGGAATCAATTAAGAAAGCTGTTAGCTAGATCCGCAAGCTTTTAAAAGACGAATTTTTTAACAACGCGATCTTATAACTCTTCGATCGTCGTAGCTAAATAAAAGTAAGTAAAAAAAAAAGCAAAGTAATAAACTACTTCTTATTATTCGAGATCTTTAATTTAAGCTTTAATAACGACGATTGCGATTACATAAAAGTTTTTTAAAAAGTGAAAAACGTATTAAAATTTAAAAATAGATTTAAAAAACTCTTTAACTTAAACGTTTAAACGAAGCTCCGCTTTAGCCGTAAAGTCTTACCGTCCGTTACCGACTTGTTAGAAAAAGTCTTTTGCGAAGTCTATACTTTCGAATACGCTAAATACTTTAAACTAGCTACGAAAAGCTTTATAATAATAGTAATCCGTTTCAACTTATATCGATTTATCGAAGCCTTTTAAACTAACGCTTTTAACAACTTTATACTTTACTTAAGCAATTAATCGATGTTCGCTATTAAAATTAAAAGCAGTACTTTAGTTAAAAGAATGTCTAGCTTAAGCTCTTTTAAGTTCAAAGCTAAGCTGATGTCTTTTAACAAGCTGAACTAAAGCACTAGCTTGATAAGCACCGCTTAAAAGAATAGCTCTTTTAACATTATAAATGCAAATAGCTATACGAAAGTTTAGCTTATATTAAGAGCTTCTTTTTTAAACGATAAGCACAGCAACTAGACTTTCTATATCATTATAAATAAAGAGATTTAAATATACTTTTACCACTTTCGGACTAATAACTTAAAAAGAGCCTCGACTAATGCACTCTTTAATATAATGCACTCTTTAACCTAGCAAATCCTTCGAAGCTATTATAAGCTATACTTTGCCGCCTTGCTTAATCGCCGAAACGGAAATTATAAGCTTATCGCTTATCCGAAACTTTCTTAGCTTTTTAAATGCAATAATAATGCTCGAGTAATTGCGACCAAACACGACGCTAATACTAAACGACTCGTAAACCGTAGTTCACGAATAAAAGACAGAGTTTTAAACTACTACTTAATGCTTTACGACGTAAAAAATCAAGTCGGAAGCTTAGCTATTTAGCTTAAAAGCTACACTTACGACACTACCTTTAAAAAGACCGCTAAATAAAAAGCTTTTAAACTTAAGTCGAAAACTTTAAATGCTTTTAAGAATATTGCGCTACGCTAACTTTTCGCTATAATTAATAATCTCGTTACTTTTATATCTATTATTACGAAACAAAGTGTTTTCTTAAATATAAACGCTTTTTAGAATTCCTTTTACGGATAAGCTATTTTTTCTAATAATTACACCGCTTTGCTAAACGATAATACCTTAAAAAATAAAGTCAGCTTTACAAAGCACGCTTGTACAATCGTCTTAAGACGTATACCGCTAACCTTTCGATAGAAAGTCATTAATGAATCAAGCTAGCTTTTCGCCGTTATAATCTAATTAAATCACGTTAGTTTCGTATTAAAAGCTTTAATCGAAAAGATAAATTAAAACGAACCTCGAGTAATAAAAGAATTAACCGCTATCTTTGCTATATCTCGGACTTAATTTTAAAAACACTTTATTAAATATAAAAAGAAATTGTTTTCGGCATTTAAAAAAAGATTTGCTATTATCTTAAATGCTAAAGCTAAAACTTACGGAGCTAAGTTTTTTTTTAAAAGCAAGAGCCGCCGTGCTAACGACTTTATAAACGCCGACAAGTTAAAAGATTTTAAAAAGAGCTTGCGACCGATTGAGTTGTCTTTTAACGACTCCGATTCAAATGTAAAGATCAATTTAAAAAGTGCGAAATCCACTCGTGAACTACGGTTCACGAGCTAAATCGACGATCTTAAAGCATCATCTTCTTAGCCGGAATCCTTAAACTGCGCATTCGATAAAGCTATAAAAGCTTTAGCTAATTTGCTTAAAAACGAAAACGACTTAACTAATAGCTTTAAACCTTATTCTAGCTTCGTTAACCTTCCGTCGGCTAAGTTCATACTTATTAACGACGCTACTAACAAGCGCAAAAACGACACGCGCTCTTTCACTTTTAAAGATATTACTATTAGCACGTTATCGTTTAATACTAGCTTTATTAAGAGAAGAAGACCTTCTTAGCTTAAAAAGAACGAAGAAGTTAAGGACGTAAGCACGGAAAGAGACTATAAAAAAGCTGCCGAAGCGTAGTTTAAATGTTTAAAGTTTAAAGACAAGATACTCCTTTCTTTTTTGTATACTAGATTTTTTCTTTCTTTTACACTTCTTTTTTTTCTTCTTACTTAATAGTAAGCGGAAGCGCTTACTTATTCTATAAAAAGACGGATGTAAACACTCTGCTTAATAAGGTACTTGCTATAGCTACTAAAGCTATACTAAACGGACTTATCTTTTATAAGAAGACATACATCTTTTAACTAGAACAATCAACGAGCTTTCCACCTACCTTTTCTAACACTTCTTTATAAGACCATAAGGTCTAGCCTCAAAGCCAGGCTTTTACTCAGCACATCTTTTTGGGTGCTTCTACACCATACGTAACACTTACGTAAAGCTGCTATACTTAACGTACTTAAGGCTGCTATACGTAACACTTACGTAAGGCTGCTATACTTAACGTACTTAAGGCTGCTATA